CCCCAAAACCCCAAAACCCCAAAACCCCAAAACCCCGAAACATATATTAGAGGCAAGAATAATACTTTTTAATATATCATAAATGGCAAAAATTAAGCACCAAAAGCAAGTAGGTGATTCCCAAAGCAATGCCGGCAATCACTCTAAATATAAAAAGATTAATAATAAAGTAAACACTGAAGCCCTATCATCAGGAACTCTTGATAAAGTAAGCACTAAAATGGGCTTTACTGATATTTTATAGGAAAATGAAGGAAAAATGCTACCTTGGGTCTCAGATACTATTCTTTTCCCTATGTCAGTGTTGGGGATTTATATTTGCTACTTCACATATGGATATCTTCAAGAGGAAATTATTGCTGTGGAGCATGTTAATGCAGGAGTACCCTTATTCATGCAATACTTGGTAGCTCTATTGATTTCATTAATCGTGAAACTAGTTATTTCATCCAGAAATAATACTGAATTCAAATTAGTACGGTTCAAAGAGATGAGACTTGGATTCATCAACAGTTGTGCGATGTTCTCAAGCAATTATGCTCTTACCTATGTTGATTATCCAACCCAAGCTCTCTTTAAAAGCTCCAAGATACTCCCAGTAATGGGAGTAGGCCTCCTAAGGAAGACCTATTCTTACTCATTGTACAAATACATCTGAGCTGGTGTGATCACTTTAGGATTGGTAATATTTAACATTGCCAAATTAGGAAGTCATGTGAGCACAATGACAATCAACACTATTGGACTTTGCTTATTATTCATCAGCCTTTTCTTCGATGGTATACTAGCTACTCAGACTGACAAAGATAAGAACAAGGGAGAGAAGTCTACTCCCTTCGACTTAATGTGAGGCAGCAATATTTGTGGAGTCATCTGCAGCTTCGTAGTCATTATGTCAACATATTTTTCAAACGGAGAATTCATTCTAAACGAAATCACAATGACCAACATTGGTGAACTTCTACTTATAGCTTTATCTGGAGCTATGGGGCAGATCTTCGTGTACATCACCATTAACAGATTTGACTGCTTCATTTTGAGTGTTGTGAATACTTCTAGAAAATTCTTTAGTATCCTTTTCTCTATTATTTTGTTTGATCACGATCTTACAGCAATGCATTGGGTTGGAATTTCCCTAGTTATCGGCTCAATAATCGCAGACGTTATCCTTTCCAACAGAGAGAAAAAGACCAAAACTCTGAAGAAACATAACTAATCCTAACCCCTAATTCAAAATAATTTCTTCACTAATACACCACCGCTTCTGATACCCCAGCTCTTCCTCCCTCCTTCCCCTCTTTCCCCTTCCCTTCCCCCCTCCCCTTCCTCTCCCCTTCCTCTCCCCCTCCTCTCCCCCTTCCTCCCCTTCCTCCCCCTTCTCCCCCTTCCTCCCCCAAAATTTCCCACCACCACCCCATCCACCACAAATTTCCCCTCCTTCCAAAACCCAACCTTATTTCAACAAGTGTTTTACTCCTAGGGGTTTTGGGGTTTTGGGGTTTTGGGGTTTTGGGGTTTTGGGGTTTTGGGG